TTCATTGTCTTACTATATATGAGGAAGCTTTGCAAACTACGACAGATTCATATCTGAAATAAGATGAGAAAGTCTGGATTGGGCATTCACATTCATCCGCAGCGTGGGTGTGTATTTGGTTTCGTGTTTGGTGCGTTTACCTGGTGAGCAGCTGAGTGCCTCGGCTCACAAAGATGACCTTAAGAACCGATGCATCGTGGCCCTCAAATGTCTTTAAAAAGTAGTAAGAACAAGGGGAGAAACAATGAAGCAATATAGCTACAAATTAGACCTCACTAATGTCTGAACATGATTACTTTTATGCAACACAACGAGACTGCTGTGATTCTGACACGTGCACAGTAAAGGTCCCACCTTGAGGCAGCTGAAGTCTTGCAGGCTCCACAGCTTGGCTGTGCCGTCTGCAGAGGTGGTGGCCAGCACTTGGTCCACAGGAGAGAAGCAAACGGCCCAGACGCCACGACGGTGGCCCCGAAACACCCCCAGCAGGCTCACCGTTCCCTCCCCCGTCAAGGACCACAGCTTGGCTGTGCGATCCTGGGAACCTGAAGCCAGCAGCTTGTCATTGGGTGATACGGCAACACTGTTTACATCCTGAAGACATGACGTGGAAGGCAGAGGAGAAAAGCACCAGACGTTTTAACAAAACTGATGAGCTTCCTATAAATGAAGGTTTGAATGAGTACATTTATTTTTTTTTTAAAAAGACTGAAGTAATAACTTAATTGGGATCAACTAATGTGATAAAGTTTCCAAAGAAATTCATGATCTTCACTCCTGTTGCCACACCTGCAGTTCCACCTTACTCTTGAGTAACCAATATCCTATTTTGGTTTAACCTGGTATGAAGAAATAATAGCACACTATTAACTGGCTTTCAATTGTTCTATTATGCTGCCAAGTAAGATGAGGGCAGGTGTAGCAGGAAAGATTACTTTCCAGCATCGTACTGGAAATCACGCCCGAATTTTTCTGCATTTCCTTATAAGAAGAGGCCAACTTGTTTAAAGCTGTTTACATAACTGGTGGCTGACTCACCAGTCTGTGTGTCTTATTATACACAACATCTGTGGAGTTCTTTAAAAAAGAAGCATCATAATCTAAATTCTTCTTGTTTTAAATTATATTTAAATAACGGTTACTGACTCGCAGTCATATGGCTCCTCTAACCTTCCTGAGTCAGGTGTTTTGCAGAATATGAAGATGCCACAGTGAAGCCTTTAAACAAAAAGAATTCAAGGGATGAGTGGGTAAGTGGGTAAATAAGACATATTTACCCATTAGTCTAATACAGAGAGCTGGCCAGTCTTTACTCGTGTTTTCTTGGCTTACTGCAACTATAATATGAATGCTTGTTATAAGTCACAGTAATTGACCAAGTCAAAATGTTGAGTGACTAAAGTTAAATTGTACTTCTCAGGGAACCAGATAAATGAAATTTTATTTTGGGCAGTCAGCAAACCCTTCAAGCATTTTTTTATAAATCAGATTTGACTGGTGATTCTTTACATGTGGTTTTTATATCCTAGAGACCACTGATTATGACTCTCTCCTTAATTTATTTAGACCTAAGCTTTAAAATAGCATCCCAGTTCCCAAGATGGCAGCTACGTGGTGAACCTGTCCTGCAACTTTAATGTGCTGGACAAAATGGACAAGATGTTCTTGGACTGTGACCAGAACGTTCTGCCTTGTACCTTATCATGTGCTTTCTCTGTGGCACGGGCAGTTAGCTGATGGATGCCTCCTTCTGCAGAGCAGTCTGCAGGTAGATCCCACACCTTCACGGTACAGTCCTGACTACCAGTCGCAACGAATGATGCCTTCATCCTAGGCACAAGCACAAAGACAAGGGAAGATGCACATACAGTCATTTCCCCCTTCATTTTGTATCTGTGTTGTCACGTGTGTAAAGAAAACCAGCTTATTAGAAGGCTTGCAGGCGGAGTGTTACCTGGAGCAGGCGATGGAGCCCACAGCGTTGGTGTGGCCGGAGCCCTGAGCCACACATCGCACCTGACCACTGTCACTGTCCATATGCCACACACGCACTGACCTGTCCTACAGATGCAATATACAAATGTTACTGCTGACCTAATAAAGGGGGGATAGCAGCTTTTGGTCATATATACTTGTCAACACTTATATGTACAAAATGGCAAATAATTCTTCGTTCTTTCTTTTAACCGTACCTTTGCACAACTTGCAAAAAGAGATCCTTTTTTGAACACATCCAGTGTGAGGACCGTATCTGAAAAAGATAAGCAGATAAAAAAATAAGCAGAGATAAAAATCTACCAACCTGCTCAGCAAGTCCCAAAGCTGAGACAACCACATTGTGTCACCTCTGAATTCTTGCGCAAAAACTTGACAGAACTTCATTTCTGTTCTTCCAACCTTAGTTTAAAAACAGCTGTCCTTAGACTTTTACTTTCTTTTTATTATTAGATTTTGTGCTATACTACATTACGTACATTGTAAGTCTGTTGCAGTTACATCCCCTACAAATAACTATGATGACTTGTTGGCATATGGCAGAGATGTTAAACATAAGGCCTGGGGGCCAGAATCAGCCAGAGAAAGACTCCAATCCGGCCCACTGGACATTTTTGGAAAATGTGAAATCTTGGTCTTTAAACTGTATTTTGATACATGTTACAACTTGTCCTGCTGATAAAGACCTCATCACTGCCATCTGTATTATACCAGAATTACTACATCAGCATCTCTTTATCATGCAGAAAAACTGAGTCCTACAGTTGAAATTGCAATTATTGATCCTATAACAAGATATCTCAGGAATTAAATGTTTAGTTCAACTTAATTTACATTGAGAGAAAGAGCCGTTTCACTACTCAGGCCCACTCATAGTGAGCTATATGTGGCCCATCATGTAAAATGAGTTTGACATCCCTGCTTTAGTGCTTCTCTTATTCCATGTGAGGTGGTCACTGGAGCCTATCACAGGCTGCATCTTAAGCAGGTCATCAGCCAATCAAAGGCTCAACACAGAGACCGACAGCTTCACACTCACAATCAAACCTACAGCCAATTCAAAAACCCCATTTAAACTGACATGCATGTCTCTGGACCGTAGTTTGCTGTACATGAACACACATACTGTAGATGTTTCCACATGTAAGCATACACACACTGCCCTCTGCTGGCGACTCACCTGTGTGTCCGTAGAGGATCTGGCAGCTGTTGGTGAGCAGCTCAAAAACCTTCAGCTGGCAGCTGTTGGTGGCCACCACGATGTGACTGTCACCTTTTCCCAGGAACTTCACGTCCAGCACCTCGTCACTGTAGCCCACAAACTGAAGCGGGAGGGTGAATAGAGCAACAGAGGAGAGAGTGACGGTTAATTCTAAAACGCAGATACACAGAACAGCAAAAAATAGAAACATAGTGAACCTTCTGAGATGATACCAATGCTTAAAATAAAAATTACATAGCTGGTGATGATATATTTTATTATTTTTGTAAGATTTTTTTTTACTTCTCTCTTCCTGTGTACCAGGGAAACAAACAATTCCATAAAATTGGATTTATTTTTAATGTGTATGTAAAAGTAAGAAAAAGACACAACTAACAGATGTTTGAAGCTGTAGTGTGATGTCATGTAAGTATTGGACCTAAGCAGTCCATTAAGACGTGACCCCAGTACCCACTTGCTGCTGTGTGGTGAGAGCAGGCAGCTGATACAGCAGTATGTTGTGCTCTGCAGTGACTGTGGCCAGTCTAGCTGAGGCGGGCAGGTGAAACAAGTATGTCAGACTGCGGGGATTGTCGTTCTCATCCTCCTCAGAGGAAGAGGGGAGGGTGGAGGGAAGGGTCTGCGTGTAGACACAACGTGCCGTGCTGGCCTCCCACACCCTTAATACACCTAGGAGAAAGAAAGGAGAGAAGATGAGTGACACAGAGGAGATAAAGGACATTTATATAAATATTTGAGGTGATTTAGCAGCCAGACCTTTGCTTCCAGCTGTAATGAAATGCAAGTCCTTGCTCTTTACTCCGATCTCAGCCAAGTCTGTACTTCCAGGAAGAATTACAACACCCTCCACAGCCTGTAAGATCACATACACACAAATAAAGCTCCAGTTTTTCTCCCCAAATGAAGAGCACAAAATGCATTTCAGTTAAAATGAATCTAAATTGACGAGCTTACCTCATAGACTGGAACAGTTCTCTTGGCTTTGCGAGTTTTCAGGTCCCAAACTGTGCAGATCTTGTCTCTGCCAGAACTGAAAGAGCACAGGACTTTAACACACAGCGTTACACAAACAAAAAGGAGTCTGAGGTTGATTTAAAATATCACAGTACCTGACCATGGCGTTACCATCGGGACTGAAGCTAAGAGATGTCACAGCACTGTAGTGGCTCTGCAGGACACACACACACTGGCTGGAGCGCAGGTCCCATATCCGGATGCCACAGTCCAAAGAGGAAGAGAAAAGCTGCAGCAGGTCGGTATTTGGGTGGAACTGGACCAAACTGCACAAAGACA